TAACTTTTAAATTTATTTTATATTTAAAAATGTTTATACAAAAATATTTATTAACAATTATGCAAATATGTATAATCTCAATATGATTTTTTTTTGTTTTTTGTTCAAAATGTTAACCGTAAATTTCATTAACGCCTAAACTGCGCCATCAGTACCTAACCTGAAAATCTCCAAAAATGTTAAATCCAAAAGAGCAAACAGAAATATACAAAAGATTATACAATAAGTGGTGTAAGTCAAACTCAGCCATTTGTTAAGTTTGTAAAACTATCACTTGAGGGCACGAATGTCGCAAACATGTTGGGCGTATATAAATGATGTGAGGAATCAAATTCCTAGCCAAAAATTAAAAAAATGTAAAACAATCTCTAACGTTTAACTAACTAAAACAAAAATATATATAAGTAACACTTTAAACTAACTGAAATTTATGAAACCAAATAAAATATTTTTCAAATTCTTCCCTACTTATAGATTAGCTATAATTTTTTCTAACTACTACAAACAAACATACATACATGCATATGAACCTAACTCAATTACTAGCAACCGAGCGTTGATGCATATACAAATATTTTCCGGTCAACAGGCAGCGAGATAAAGAAGAAAATTTTTCTCAGCCCTGTGACTAAAACTAAGAATAAGCTAAAACAATTACAATAACAACAAAAACTTAAAAAGCGCATTTATGTAATACAATTTTAAACTTTTAGTATTTTTACATATACATACATACATACATACATATAAAACATGCTCATACGCATCAACACACATATACATATACATATAAACATACACACACTATTTATACTGTGTATATACAAGCATACGCATCCATATATAACTTAACTACCAAACTGATTACAACATATTTAAACACAAATACATACATACAAACACACCTTTTTCTAAAACATCACACACAACACACTTGCCTATACAGTACAGAAACAGCTAACTTCATCCGAGCCTAAAATAATAAATAGACATTCAATTCTTATTCGAAAAAAATTAAGTTTATGTATGTACATATATAAATTAATGTAACTGTAATTACGCATAAACATCTAAATACATGCGCATTACTCTACATATTTTAAGTCATTTTTTCTGAGCGTGTTCAAATGTATTGCATATCTTTAGGCGTTTAGTATGTTTATAATATTGGAATATGCATTTTGTCTAAAGTGCGCCTAAAATATGCTATGGAAATCAGTAACATTTAACTTTTTTTAGAATATTCAAATGAGTTGCATATTTTTAGGCGCTTAGGAAATGCATATTTCCCACTTTGCTGCAAGTACCATTTATCATTTAATTTAGCAAATTAATTTTTTATCTTCAAATATTATTTCCATATTTTTTAAATAATATTGAACTATTTTAAACGTATTTAAAAATTTGGTGTCAATTAGCTGCTTGCAGCTGCGTTTCAGGGATTTGAATTAAATAATTATTCAATAATTGCAAAATCAGTTAAGTAACAGCTTATCGCTCAAAATTGTGCTTTGCTGATAATCTCACTTATTTAAGAATAAAATTTTTTAAGCGCTTTCATTTATTAGTGCAAATGTTGCAAACGCGACAACAGTGTGTAAAAAAACTAATGGAACAAGACAAAATAATAATTATTGCATAAAAGCCCTTAACTATTGTATAAAAAAGGATACAACATAAGCATGCTGCGCATTATGTAAATAAATTAAAACAAAAATACGCAACACATAAAAACAAAACATAAATATACATATATATTTTCATAATATCATTAAATTTATTACCTACCTAAATTAAAAAAAATTAAAACATAATAAAAATGATATATATACATATATAGAAATATGGCCGGCCCTACAAAAGCAGCTTTAGTGAGCTTCAAAAGTTTTGAAAAGAGTTACATGCAATCGATAATGTCCTTAGTCCTATGCTTAGCATTAAGATGAGACATTCGTATCGATTGTGTACCTTAAATGGCAAAATGTTGCTCATTTTCTGGCTACAATTGGCTAATATTTGAATATACATTTTAACTGTATGTGTGTGTGTACTTATCAATGTAAATTATATAATAATAATAACAATAACAACAAAATATTGCAATTGCAAGCAAGCAAGTTGGCATAGAGCGAATTAAGTTTAGCAGCTAAACAAATAATGGCCTCAAGAATTGATTGTCTGCAAGAACAAATAAATACACATATACATATACACATATATTATATATTACATATAGTATATACTAATTTACATATATTAATAACTATATATATATATACATATATTTATACAAAACAAATTAAATTAATTAAATATGTATGTATTGTAAAACAATATCATATTAATATTTTAAACTATTTTGACAATTTATTCAAGAAAATGCATAAAGTCAAAATGCATTTTTAAGATTTTTTCGTAGAACAAGAAAAAAATTATTGAAATCTTTGTATTTACTTGAAGTTCGAATTTGAGTTGTTATACATATACATATGTATATTTTGTTACAAAATTGTGTAACTAATTTTTTGTATAAACGTTTTGTGATCAATTACTAAGAAATTTACATACATATATCTGTGTCAATTTATACATACACAAATAGTGCATATAACATTACAGTTGTATATTAAAAATTAAAATTGCAAAGAGAAAATAAATTGTAAACACATAAGTACATATGTATAAATGTAGCAATATGTGTAATAATGTAAATTAATCAGCTAAACACATGTGTGTACATGATTTTATTATATATGTATATGTATTTATGTATATCAACACTAGCATTAATGTGCAACTATTTTGCTCCCTTTTCTATGAATATAATTATAATTTGCGTTTTTCTCATATTAAGTACACTGTTTGTATGTAAATAGTAAAATATTAAGGCGCCAAAGTCAATGTACATACATATGTACATGCCTATATGAACAAGAAAATTATACAACATTAGACTATACATAAACATATATAAATATATACATACATATATGCATATATATATGTATATGGCGAAACACAAGCATATATATGTATATATTGCAGAAACTGAACAATTAAAGCCCATTTTCAATTATTTTGATATTCGCATGTAGTGAAATTATTTCAGTAAACTAAAACAAACCAAACTACGAATGACTGAATTCCCCTACACCTGTACACAATCGCATACACACTAACATTTGTATATACATACACACATAAATATATGCAAACACACATACACATGAAGCAAAAAAACACAACTCCAAATATACCAACAAAAGTGGCGGTGGTGTACAACAATTAAGATTTACAATTAAATTTAACAAAAATTGATTTTAAAACTAACATGCAAATTTTAAAGAAAATGCAAAAATTATCAGTTAAATATATTTAAAATATATATATACGTATACAAACAACACAAAATATTTACAACTCACAACAAACACTCAATTGCAAATTTCCACTTTTATCAACTCTTGCCAATAAAGAAATGCTACTAAGAGAAAACAAATAAAACAATTATAAAGGACTAAGCGATATCAATAATTGATTGAGTAACTGTGAATTCTGAAAAGGTATTTAAAAAAATTTAATATGAAGTGAAATAATTATACAATACATAAAAATAAAAGAAATATATATCAATAATGAATGTCTGCATTATTGAACGTACAGGGGAGTAAATTGCATTTTGTAAATAAATAGATAATGACAAGAAGCCATTTCATAATGTTGCATATTTGTTAGAAATAGTGTGCGTTACAAGCACATACATACATAAATATATATGTAGGTAACAACAGATGCAGGATGTGGTTGAACAGAAAATAAATAAATAAAATCTAGCAAATCGATAATATATTATTAACAGCTTTACATAATGACAGCTAACACCAAACAAAAAGGAAAATTACTAAAATACTTGCTACAAATCTTTACTTTACTTAAACATTTTTTCACTCACTCCACACGTAAAAACAGTAATAATTTCATATTTTTACATTCCTGAAATATCGCAAATGAACGTCGATTATTGATACTTTGTATGGATTGATAACTATTAACTCAAGTCGAAACACAATAAACTGGAAAAACAATTGTCGCGGAAAGCGGATGATGAGTTGAAGCCATATAAGAAATGATAAAAATGGTATAATAATGATAAATTATATATACATAATTAATTGTACTTACATAATGCAAGTTATACATAAACATATACAAATAAACTAAACTTAACTAACCAAACAAAAGTTTTACTTAACTGTGTGTAATGAAAGTGGTAGGTTGTTCGGTGCCGCAGTTAAAAGAGTGCTCAACAGTTTTTGCCTCTAGCGCTATAAATGCATGTAGCAACAAATGCTTGCACATATAAGTAAGTACATATGCGTGTAATCACAACGCAGCTTCCATTAAAATTCAAAATTTCTATAGAGTAGGTCCAGAAGCAATTCTCAAAAGCACTTGCTTTTACCAATATTATATATGCATATAGTTCAGTAGTATCAAAATTATATTTAGCTAAAAACTAACCTTTCGCAATTTAAAATGTATAAAGATTTTATACAATATGGCTGGCTGCTTGACAGTTACTTTCCACATTTCAATGCGCCTTCGTGGAAACGGTATATAAAAAGTATTCCTAGTTGCAAAATATTGAAATGTTGCAACAACGTTTTAATATGCAAAAAGTGTACAATATACAAATTCAAATACATAATATAAGACAAGCAAGATAGAACGATGACCACGAACGGCAGCGGAAATCAGATATAAGTAAATTACCTGCAGAGGTTTCGTCCTTGCCAGATATTTTTGGTATGTTGCTTAACAAATATAACAATACAAAGTTTGCGAGGAACGTTGTAAAGAGCTTTAATCGATAATAATTCATTACAAAATAGCGTTATAAGCATAATATTTAAATTCATATTACACATTTAACAGTTCTATTGAGAACAGTTTCTTTGAAAATTTTCAAACGACAGCGCTGCTTCAAAGAGAATGTTTTGTTCCCATACACATATACTTTGCAGCTGGCAATGCTCCTTATTGCTCTTTCCTTTCTCTGCCCGTTCGCTTTTTCTGTCATTGCTATTTCCCTTTATTATTATTTTATATTTTTGCCGCTGCTCCACCGCCTTTTGTTTGCAGCCGTTGGTTTTCCATACGGTTTTCGTTCGTAGCATTTTCAATTGTATAGTGCAAGTGGGAAAAATCAGACACTGCAAAGCCAATTGGTTAAGAAATAAGCGGACGTTGGAGTTTTCCCGTTGACGCCGTTGTAGTTGCTTTACCTTTATGCATCATTTTTCACACTTTGATTTTTCACTTCAGTCGATTTCCAAACATTTTTATACATTTGTAAAAATTGAAGTGAGTGAAGTGTTTTATAGATATATACAAACGAAATAAATAAATTGTAAAATTAAGATACACAATTTATTAACGAAAATTCTTATTACAAAAAAAAAAAAAAAATAGTAATCAAATTTGATGTGTTTTCCATTCTCGTAAAAGTGAAAATTTCGAAAATTGTGCATATAGCGTGTGTATACATACATAAATACATACTAATTTGGAAGTGTGTTGAGATTGTGAGGCAAGCAAGAAGCGGTGCATAAGTGTTGAAAGAAATCTTGTGATAGATATTCTGAATATTTTCTGTGGCAAATAGAAAGTCCAACGTTCCGGCTAAGCAAGAAAATAGCAATAACAATAAAATTAGTGACAAGTTACATACGGGGACTTTATGGTACTCACTTATGACGGCGTTGGCACTGTTGGCGATGTCGCTTTGAAATGCCACTATACTTACAAAATATATAACAATAATTAAAATTAAATTATAGTAAAAAGGGGTGTGAACTCACAGTTGGTTGGCTGTAAATTTGTCAGACGGCAGCCGCAAAATCAAACAGACATTCGTCACACAAAAGTGGAAGCTCGCCAGGAAGAGGTATGTACCCTATACAGAGAAGTGTTTTACAATTTGCATGCAAATTAGTATATCGCCTTGGCTACGCCTTGTCATGTATATATATACTTTTTTCTAGCTGACCTCAAGTTGGGCAGAGGTGTATTGTTAGCAGAGAGTTACCCATGAGCCGATTTTGTCATTGAAAATAAGAAAAATATTCGCTGACTGGGCATATCTTTTAATTTAAAATTTTTTGAGTTCAGTTATTTGAAAACTTTAATATTTATATAATTAAACTAAGTTCCTGCTACTACGAGATATATATTGTTTCAAAGTAATTATGATTACACATAAGAATCTAATCTAAGTGTTGCTACTGAAATTAACATGTTTTAAAGTGCTCATAACCGGCTGATATTTACCTACATATCTAAAAATACTTCATTCATATCTACATAAAGAATTTCACATATCCTTGCTGTTGTTGTCGAGTTATTGTACGGCTCGTGGCTTTTATTTAAAGAATTCGAAAAAGTATGTGCCTTTTCTGTGGAATATGGTTTGTTGCTATGGTTGAATGTGACGTATATGTACGTACATAGATTTGGTATCAGCGCCGGTATAAGTATGTGTTGTATGTTTGTATTTTTGCATTCATAATATCTTTTTTCGTAAATAAAGTACATACGTACGGAGGTGATGAAAGATACCTAATACATTTTTTGTATAGCAAAGATATTCCTATGTAAGTGTCGGTGTAAAAAAAAAAGTTTCATGTCTAAGTTTACTATGGGTTAATAATGCACTAAAATTGAATATTCTTATAATCCAGGTAGTTTTGAAAAATTTTTCTTAATATATAATAATATATATTTGTAGTCGTTTCTTGTGGTCTCCAAAATTTTACATGTACATTTATGCAGATTCCTTTGCAATTAATAGATACGTAAATAATGACATCCTATCTACGTATGGGCATATTGGACGAATGTAGTATGTACACACTCTCGAACAAAAGGAAAATATTTGCTAAGTAGCCCACACCACCCACATATCACTAATAATACATCTGTTTTAATTTTGTTGATCAACAGAAATAAAATTTACATTTGCATTCCATTACAAAGGATTAAAAAAAAATAAATAATTATTAATTGTAGTTATACGCCAACATTTTGAGCTTTATTCTGTTATAGCGACAATGTCGAGTGTTTATTTTGGATGGAATACCGACAAATCGCCTAACTACAGCGCTGTGTACAAATCGTAAAATTACTAAAAATATTTTAAACTAAATACCTACTTCAATGAAAAGTGTATGTGTACATATTTATGTGTGTGTAATCAGGAAATGATCACGAATTTCGAGGGTCTTGTTGGAGTGAAAAGCACTTTGAATAACCTTAGTGCCCGCTCCTTTAAATATTCATTACTGATGTTTGGTTACTGTCAAAGTTCTCAGTGGCCAGATTTTTGCAATAAATAACGACGATTTTGGAAGTAGTTATACAAATTATTACAATACAAACAAAGAAAACATTTTAGTTTAAATTTCCGTTGCACCGAGCTGTGATACCCTTCACAAAAAAGTTTCCATCAACAACTTTATATTGATCAGACAGTCTGTATAGTACCTATATGCTATAGCTGTCCGATATCGGTTCCAACAAATGGACAGCTTCTTAGTAAGAAAAGGAAGTGTGCAAAATTTCGGATAGAAACTTAAAAACTAAGTGTATGATGATTGATGAATTTCTTATCAATATCTGAACTGAACTTTTGAATGACCATGTTTAATACATCAGTTATGGACTTTGTATTTTTTACATCGTTACTTAACAATTCCATTTTAATATTTGCAATCACTTGCAAAATTTTTTTATTTTGGCTGTAGCTAGATGCAAATTATGCGAAGTAATGTCTAGGGTACCGATAGTGCGCCCAATGACTTGCTTGCCAGCTATTTTTTTTTTCAAGGTGTGCTGTATGTGCACTTTTTGTTTCCAATAGGCTGATACTCTCATTTATTTCAATAACCCTATCAACAATCAAAAGTCAATGACATTTTAATTATAGGGGAACACACTTTTCGATTATTTTCCAGTGAATTTTGCTTCTGCCTTTTTATTACTGATTTATTGTATAAGTTATTATATTAATATAAACTGTAGAAATTTCCAATGTTTTTTGCGATTAACTTACCCTTGAGCATAATGAGTTATCGCATGGAGAAAAACAGCTGCAATTTGGTGTACTTCACAGCTGTTCTCCATATCGCAGGTGCATCTGTCATTTCTGCTACATTAAGCTGTTGTTATTTTTGCTTTGCAGAGTTTTTGTTAATGTTAGCTATCTGAAACGCTTGTAGGCCGGACGATATTTAAATATTTTCTATAGGCACCCTTGACAGCTGCTGCAATCTCCGCCACTGCCACTTCCGCTACTTTTTTTTTTTTGCTTATGTTTACTGTTTTATTGACATTGATGTGTTTATAGACTTAACCATATCATGGCTGAAGTTGGTGTTTTTGTGTTGTAGAGTTACTTTCCATTTTTTTATTGTGCCGATTTTTATTTTTCTCCTCTCTCATATATGCTCTCAGTTTTATATATTTCTCGCAGCATCTGTTTTATATTTTTATGCTACTCCAAACACCTTAAGTAATATTCAAGGATAAAAAGTACTGCTTGCTCCATGTAATAATAGGTCGCATGTGCTTGGAAAATCAGTATCGAACGAAATTTAATATGTTTTGTTTAGACTAGATGCCGTCATTCATTAAGTGACGTTAAGAGCAATAATGACGCTGTGCGACAAATGATTAAACTGTTTTCATAGTCGTTTTCCTAAAATGGGTAGTAATAAGACAGAAGCTTTACCGAAATACATAAGTGGACCGTGCTTTCATTGTATCAGCAGAAAAAATTCCATACACCGTTTTGTGAAGTAAGTGAACCTGGGCTTTAGTATCCATTGATAATTCGGAAATTTTTTAGAGCGTTGTGCATCTTTGACATTAAAATTACCGGACACATTACATTGCAGTATCAAATTGAGATAAAATTCCTCTGCATAATACCAAATACCATTCGCAGAAATATGTAAAAAAAAATCACATTTAGAAGAAAATATGTATTTACAATTATTCTACACAACAAAAGAACAAACCTATTGCAATATAACTACACAATGCAAAAGCGAAGTGACATGTTCGCGAAAGTGTTTCTAAACTATTGTATTGTTGTTTTGACATCTTCATTTTGCATTTTATATTTTTATTTGCTTCGTTTTGCTACCCAGAGAATATTCGCTTTGTGACCCACTTAATGACGGCGCGTCGACGTTACCAATACAATGTGGGTCTAAATCATGCCGCTGGAAGCTTCTGTCACTTCAGTGCATCAGTCACAAACATATGTACATACATACTTATACCCATTTGTTTTGATGTGAGACCTTTTCCACGCATTTGCACTTTGCAGCTGCCACAATGTGCCTTTACTGCCGTGCTGCCCTTCACACACATACCCACTTCGCACCTCACCGCACTAATGTACCAGTTAGTAAACGCTCGATATTTTGCCGGCCGCCAGCCACTCATTTGTGTAGAACCTAGATGCTTTTTAGTGGTCGACACTTTGACGTGCGAGCACATGCCGTCACACAATTAACGCTTTTCACTTAATTTCATCGACATACATTCTATAAGCGAGTGTGTACTTCAGCACTTCCTTGCCCCCAGAACATTTCACATTTTCCTTTCAGCCTTTTCCATTGCAATCAGTTTTTCTGGTGTTTGCAAAAAAAATACGCTTTCGCATCAATTTGCTACTCGGTCAACAAATGACTAGTTGGCCCAGTGCAGTTGCCTGCGCTGCTTTGTGTGTGTGTGTTTTTTGAGTACTATGCATAAGTACGCGCTACTTAATGTGCTCGCTGACTAATGGCAGAGTCACGGCAAGAGTGGAAATCAAAACAAAAGAACGGAAAAGTTACTATGAAGACACGAGTGTTTCACTAAGTATAGGGGGTTTCGAAAGGAAAATGTGAATGAAGAAAAGTACAAGTACAAGTACAAAGTATACATACGTTATGTAAGTTATTTCTCGATCAAAACTTTTCGAGTTCTCAGTATCGTAAATCTTTGGTACAGTTAATCTTACTCTTAACGGAATCCGCGATTTAGAAATCGTTAATGTACTCCTTTCATCAGTCCACTTGACCAAAAATTGCGATCCAAACATAGCAGGAGAGCCCTTGGCCGCATAAAAACCCGTGCAAATTCTTGTCCTGGTAGAACCTGTATATGTAAATACCACCAAATATGTATAACACCCCCGTCGCTTGGTCCCTATAGCCCGACACGGCCGAAACCGCCAGTTTTTTATTTAACATACATAGTTCTTTTCAAGGGTGATAGACTGATTATAGCGACTCTCTAACTTTTCGAAACCATTTTTGCTTCTAAAAAGGCCTCAGTTTCGGCGATCACCCCTTCATTGGACAAAAATTTATTCCCAGCGAGCATTATTTTGAGATTAATTACATTAATCTTCCACAAATCGCTTCCATACAGCCAAATAAAACCCTTTATTGACCGTCTGTCCCTCCGAAACAAATTCATGATACACTAAACCACGAATATCGGAAAAAACAATGAGCACCACCGTGATTTTTGAGTCGAAGGTCGTCCAGGACGAGGTATGTCTTCAACGATTTCTCTACCGTCTTTAAAGGCTTTGTATCGTAGTCTTATGTTTTTGATAAAACTGAATCACCGTAAGCCTTTTCCAACATCCGCAACGGAATTTAATTACAGTATCGAGGTATTCTTTTACCACAATGTAAGTAATCTTTTATTTCTTTTTGTGAAAAGTATTTTACAGGATGTTTGTTAGCGCAGAAGTACGCGATTAAATTCTGTGTAAAACTCAGTAAATCTGCGACAGAGACGTTTGATATGATCAAGAAGGCTTACCCAGATGGTACTTTAGCAAGAAGTGGTGTGTTCCGGTGGCACCAGGCCTTTGTGGAGGAC